TACTAATATATAATAGTAGAATAAAAAATTTAAGTATGATTATAACGTAACAGCTGTGATGTAAATTTTTTCTTGTGAGTGATAATTCATGCATAACCTACAAATAGACTGAAAACAAAAATAATTTATTACTTTACGTACTTAATAACTGCATACACGTTAGAGTTATGGGAAAATATAATCACATTAGGTCCTTTTCGAGTTAAATATCTAATTAGTCCAATTTATAGAGATGAAGAAAGAATTTATCGCTACAATGTAATGAAAGGTTTGTTTGATTTTTTGTTTTGGTAAATTAACTTTATCTAAATATGACTGTGTTGAATAATATTGAAAATTTTTCCGAAAGAATCCTTGAAGAAGACTTTCTTTCAGTCGCAGTAAGAAATATTTTTAGCTATTTTGTAAAGTAACTACAACAACTAGGATGATAAGCAATCGAAAGGAGTCAAGTCTTCAGGATGCACTTTATTTCAATGTCGTCACGATTAGAAATGCTATTCTGCAAAGGTAATTTTTGTTTCAGAATAAACTCATTGATTTAAAGAAAAAGGACTTGAAATTTTTCATTTTGTAGAGATTCATCTTGTGTAAATGGTTGGAATATCATGTTTCAACACCTTTACATGTGGATTACCATGACGTTAACAGTAACAATCGTAAGCAAGCTGAGTAAGTTTATTTGGCAATAACATTTTTTTGTATAGAATACGGATTTGAGAAGAACACAATATATATTGTATTATAATGAAACAAAATTAAATAAACCTCGTAACTAATTTCAGTTGGTTTGCTGCAACCTATTTTTTTTAGCAATACATAAAAATGGTCTGAGATACATTAAATTGTTGTTGTTATTTATTTTAACGCAGTATTTTCTGACAAACATTTGTGCATCATATAAATAAATAAATTTATTTTTATTTTGTTCAAATATCTGATTGTTATTGACTCTTATACCCCACGACAAAACTAGAGTTATAACTTAAAAAAGAATATATATATATATAAAGCCCATAAACAGATCAATAGTTACGTGTAACCCTCTGAAATACATAAATAAAATTGTAAGTGTAAAGAATTAAAGCAAGTTGGGGGTCACACAATAGTACATTTAAAAAAATTGCATTTATAGATTTCATTGCGTTTATTTTACGAGTTTCATTTTAGATAAAAAGGATCAGGTCAAAATAAACATGTAGGGTATATTGTAATTACAATGTTTTTCGTTTATTCAATAATTACAAGTTTTACATAAATGATAAAATAAATAAATAATCAAAATCGCTTACGAAACAGAGAAACAAATAATTATTAAGTGTAAAATATTTTAATTTACTCTTTTGTGAGTAATTTGCAACGCACGCAAACGAACTTTTTACAGTAGAGTAAAATACCTCTGCTACATTTTAATCTCGATACCAATATTACTTTTGACACCTATGTTTTTACGACGATCAATGCCAATAATAATTTAATTAGGACTAAAGCCTACAAAAATATGAAATAAAAAGGACTATGCTACAACTGCTGACGTAGGTTTCATATATACATCTTTGTATTGTACAGCTATTATAGGAAAAGAAACATTTTTCTCGAAATCGTAATAGTTACTTAATTTACAGCAATTTATTCGAATTTCCTAATATTGTTTCAGTCTAAATTTTTTATTTTCATGGATCAGCCAATTCGAGGATAATCTACACAGCACTTTTAAATATTATGCATACAGTATACACTAGACAAAGCAGGACAAGTTCTGGTTGTTGGATGTCTACAAAGAACTAGTTTTAAAATACATTTCTATTATGGCGTAGTACCTGCTTGATTAAATACAACTCTTCTACGTAATCTTTGACGTTATTCTTAAAAATATATTATCTTTTTTCTTATGTGTTACATACGTATGTATATAAAAAAAAGAACGAAATAACCAGCGAGGTTTAAAAGCATCTAAAAATGTTGTTTTCGATGACTGAAAGTTGAAAAAAAAATTTAAAGAACAATTGAATCAACATCTATTTTTATTTTGTTGAGTAGTTAGTCGAATTCCATCAGTGCGATCCTCATACAGTCGGACGAATTATGTATTTCTCCCGGGACGAGAAATCGCTGACAGCGCTCGCAAAATCTGTGCTGGTTCTCTTCGGCGACCTTTGTCAGTGGCAACAACAAGTTTAAATGATAATTTACTTGTGCAAACGATAATTACGATGGTAGCATACGTTAAAGTGAGAAGCAACGTGGTTGATCGGTATCGTGTCTTTGCATTTTGGACAAGTTATCCAGTTTGAATTAATACGGCTACTACTCGGTAAGCTTCTCAGCTGAAAGTTATAACAAATATCCGGAATGTTACAGTCAAAATCAACGGCAAACGAAGTTTTTTTTTACAAAACGTTTGTGTTACACAAACAAATATGAATGAAAAATATTCCACACGATTTTAGTTCTTGATGGCCAAACGCTACCTATGTGTATTAGAACATCAACACACATGTACATGTGTAGTGATCCAAACAACGAGTGGAGAAGTAACGTGATGAATAACGATTGTCCAAATTGCAGTCATAGATTGGTGGATAACAAAGTAAAGTGCGACGAAAAACATGAAGTTGCTCACTGTCATTCAATTATGTACTTACAGGTCTCTGATCTTGCTGTTGCTGTTGTTGTTGTCTTGAATCTTCGTTTGAAGATACCGATCCACCTAAACGATCATTCTCAGTACGCAACTCGATGTTAGCCATGGAAAGAGATTGCAGCTGTTCTTGCAAATTTTTCTGGGACACGCGTATCTCGTCGAATTCCTTTTCATACATATCGATTTGTATTTTGTAGACCGATATCAACTCTTCCTAAAACCGAAATGCGAATCGTTTCATTAAAAAAAAATGTCAATATTTTCCATACTATCTTGAATATAAAAAAAAAAAAAAAAAAACAAGCTTGATCTTACGTTTTCCTGCAATTTGGCATTGTCAGCTCGCAACTGCTGAATAGTCACGTCAGACAGATTTAGTTCCTGTTTCAACTTGACGATCTCGTTGTTTAAATCGTCGCACTTCTTTTGCAAAATTTTCTTCTCCTTCTGCAGAGTTCCCTCCTCAGCTTCATACAGCTTACTCTGACGATCGAGCGAAGTTTTCTCCTCGATCAGGCTGGTCTTCTCCTCAGAAAGCCATTCCTTCTCCATGCACAGGCGAGTTTGCTCGGCTTGAAGCTTGTCTCTTTCCTCGCTTATCGATTTCTTATGCATGTGCATGTTCAGCTGTGCCTCGAGCAGAGCAGTTTTTTCTTCGTCCAAAACTTTCTTCTCCTCGTCCAGGTGTTTTTCTATATCCGCCAATTTACGCGAGTTTTCTTCCCCTGCTTTGACCTGCAGCGTCTGCAGCTTCGAATTTTCATCCCTCAAGATTTCCAATTCGTAAACGACCGCATTGTAATCCGACAGTATTTTCTGAAACTGTTTCTGGATTTTTATGGTCGTCAACTTGTCGTCGATGCTCTGCAACTGTTCGTCTATCAACTTCTTGCGATAATTGCACAATTCATCTTTGTAAGCTTTCAACTTGTCCGCGAGTATTTCACTATTTGGCAAAACTTCTGCATTTTCCAGGGCTTGTATGATGTCAACGGACTCTTTTAAAAATTCTTGAATACGGAGGTGACGAGAGCATTGCGAGGCGAAACACTTGTTCAACTCGTTGACTTTTTCATGGTAGAATTCAACGTTTTCCTTCAACAGTAATTTGTCTTTGTTCGGTTCTCCAGAGATTTCAAGGTTTGAATCAGCTGTTGCAAGTGCCTACAAAGTAAATTGAATATTTTTTTCACGTGGCTAATAGAAAAAATAAATATTTGAAGAAAAATTTAAACTCACGTTTTCTTCGAACTTCTTTATTTGCTGCTCAAACGACGTTATTATTTCTTTGAGGTAACTTATTTCGTTATCCTTCTCACAGCATTTATTAACGAGCTTTTGAAGCTCGGACGAATTCGATACGACGCAATTTTTCTTAAAATCATCAAACCCCTTGTTGGCTTTGTGCATCAGCTGGCTGAAAAACTGTATATCCGTGATATAACGCTTTTCCAATTCTTGAAATATTTCTTGCGATTTTGAGTGATCGACCTTTAAAGCAGACAACTCCTCCGACAGAGTATCGATTTTTCTTACAAGTTTCAGCTCACTTTCAAGTGCTACTTGATCACCCCGAGATTTGTCATCTTCCTCAATGGTTGAAGAATTGATGCTCTGCAACTCTGGTAAGTTTTCAGAATTGAGCGTCGTGGTCTTTTCCAAATCACTCTTCAGCGTGGACAAGTCCTCTGATAGACTATCAAACTTTTTCTCAAGTTTATGTTCACTTTCGAGCATAGATCGACCTCCGTGAGATTTGTTTTCTTCAGTAAAAGCTGAAAAATTCATGTTTTGCAACAGCCGTGAGTTTCCAGAAGTAGTCAAAGCATCCTTCGTTAAGTTATTCAAAGTACTGTGTGTCGATGAAACCGGGGACTGACTCTTTGTGATTTTATCCTACAAAGTACAGAATTTTTTTCAAAAAGTCCAAAAAACAACACAAGCATTCTACTCACCCTCAACTCTTCATTTTCAATTTTCAATTTGTTTATGAGTTCCTTGGTCTCAATGAACTTTTGTTTGTGACCATCGCAAACCGCCATAACTTCTTTCTGCCACTGGGTAATCGTGCTGAATTGCTGTTTGATGGTCGTGTTGTTGTGTTTCAGCGTTTCCTTGAGCCTCAAATTCTCTTCCAAGACTTTCTTCAAACTATCTTCCATCTCGTTTGGACTCATCATTGATACCAAAGAAGAATGGTCCTAAAAGCACAAACGAATCATATACTTTCGATTTCGAGCTGCACTCGACACTGCAATGTAAAACTTACGATCGAAAGGCTCTTCTTCTGTATCTCCACGTAGTTAGCCAAAGAAGTTTCTCTGATAGAGTCCAGGGAAGACTGGCCCAGGACGACAAAGGACTGCTCGGACTCGTCGTTGACCATGTTGTTCTGCTGGAAAATGCTGCTAGCCAGGGCGGCAGGTCCAGGCTCGTTAAGCTTGAACCTGGGCAGGCCATCGCTGACAACCAATCCCGAACCCTGGAGGTGATCGTCCGACGCGACTGTGGGGTTCAGGTTGTTGGGCAACATGCTCCACTGCATCTTGTCGCCCAGTGCTGAGTCTGTCAAGTTTTTTTGCTCTTCCTTTGACATTGTGGGTTGTCGATTTCGAAAGTAGGTAAGCTAAGAGAGAGAGATGAGTTCAAGGGTGATGTAATTTTAATAAGTACGTTCTAGTTTTTAGCAGCTTGGAGACTCGTTGGGACTTGTATTTTGGACCAATTGATTACTTTCAACGATGGGAAAGTAAAACCGAAACACGAAACGACCAATTGTGCAATTTCACGAAATCAAAACAATGGCAACCCCAAAACACCAAAATATACATATATGGGTATACAAAATACGTACATAGTGTATATGGTTCTCTCCAGAAGTCGTAGGAGGATCTGTGTGATTCACTCAAGTGAGTAGGGTATCCAGGCTCCTTATCTTTTCCGCACTTACGCACATACTTTAAATCTTGACAAATGAATAATGTCACAGAATCACACTATCACGTAAGAATGATAACAGAAACAGACTCTGTTAAACGGAACATATGACATGCATACACTACACTCGCAGATACTAGCAGAGATACCAGATACTATAGACTTGTGAAGTTGGCGCCCGTAAATATTAGGTACTATTAGGTATGATATATCAGGATATGCTGCGTGCTGTGTAAGTTTTCCTCATCTACAAACACAGACTCTACACTCTACAGTCTCTACTTAGTGTCTCTACTTCTCTAGTGGTGGCTTACATATCTGGTGACAATTAAAAGTTACTAAATATTACTAACAATCGTTTTGGCACATTCCACAAAAAAAAAAAAGTGTGCCAAAAACGATTGTTAGTAATATTAAGCAACTTTCAATTGTCGGAATGTAATTAGGTATATAAGAATGGTGGACTTTTTTCCAAAGAAAATACAACCAAATAACAACTCGAGGATATGAATTTTTAATTCGTTATTTATTTTTAAAAGTTACATAAAATGTGCAAGTCTACAAAACAACAAAATAGAGAGCTTTTTTGTTCTTATGTTCTAAAATACCACAGTTAAGTTAAACATTAAAAAATAAATAATATTTCTTTGAAATATCACATTTATATGGTAATAAAAAATTACAGTGTACAAAACGAAATTGGCATTGTGCTAAATGTTCCTTTGCCTCATCTACAGCTGTGATTCTCTCTTTGAAAGCACGTATTTTTTTTAATTTACAATTTATAACTGCTTTAATACGCATATCGTTGCATATGATTTGTTATGAAATGTATTTAGTGAAAGAACTATGTGACGAAGTATTTTCTGCAAAATATAAGCCAAAAAATAAAAAAAATTAAAAAAATTTGAGATCAGAAGACAACAAAAAAAGTACTGTAACCATCACTATTTTATGAATGTACCCATTAATAGAATTCAAGCATTAACCGGAATAACTCATCTCAAGCAAAACTATTTCTAGTTTTCCAGACAGAAATTTTAAAATTTTTTTTATCTCAAATTACGTTAAAATTCGTGTAAATCAAGGTATAATTATTAATATAGAATCCAACAAATGTTAAATTGTTTAGAATCAGTATTAAAATTCGTTTGGGCACTAGGTTACTATGCGTTGTAAGCAAAAACAGATACCACTTGACTCCTTCCTTAGCTTATACCTCTTTGATCTGGAAATCAAATTTTCCCCTCATATGCGTAATAAACCTCATATCAAAAATCAGTATACAAATACAAACAACATTTTTCCGTGTAAAAGTTAAAAAAGTACAATCAAAAAGATGCGTGAAACTGTTCATTCTCTGAAAATCTTTCTATCTACATTTGTCATCTTTTACTTTTCAGTGGTAACTTTGACCGTACAAGATCCCAGCTTATCAAAGTCTTGTCATCTCTGTTGCACAGATCCATTATTACTGTTGCATTTTTTTTCGAACTCATAACTCCCAAGCAAGTACCCGTAGCCAAGTTATAAATTGGTATATTACTCTGAAATACAAAAGTTGGATACATAAGTATGAAACAAGTAATGTCAATCTTGATGAAATAAAAATAACGAAGACTCACAGATCCAATGTATTTCCACTCCTGAGTTCCACCCATTTCATGACACTTTCCAAGCCTCGGTCTTTTTTCACTTCCCTCCAAGCATAGCAACTGCCCAAGAACCAATTCATGCTTATCCGTCTCATACCACATCTAGAAGGCAAATATATGTATATTTTTTTTTAAATAAACAATAAATAAAAAATCAAACAATTCCAATCGCATGTCAGAAAAACTATAATCTTGTTTTACCTGTTTCTTGATTCTTGTACAAGATGCCAAGGCCAACTCAGAGCCCTTATCTTTGACATCCCTTACGCTCTGAATGCAAAGTTTGCTGTTGGTCAGTCTTATTTGATACGCGTTCGTGTAATTTCGCTGGCGCGCGTACCACGGCTGGGGCGCCTTCTGATCGACTTTTTTCCACTTGTTCTTCAAATCCTCCGAATTGTCATCCGGCAAGACCAGTTCCGGATACACGTTTTTCAAGTACCACGCGAAATCCTTGCAGTGCAAATCGCGGCGTAACTTCTGGCGCTCACTTATGTCATCGTAATCGATTTTCTTGGCATTTCTCAGGAAATAATTTTTGTACTCGTCCATCCAGACGTGAGCCACTCGCAGGGAGTTCTTTAGCATGGTGTCCTGGTTGGCTCCATATGGACGTCTTTTTCTGAAAACGTGGCCGACTCGTGAACACGGTATTAGCTCTATACTACCACCGCACATCCATATCTGAAACATATTTTTATTTTATCCTTATTATATAACCATCATACCTATACGTCGATGTACGGAAATAGAATAAAATCATTACTTACTCTGAAAGATATTTCTAAATTCTCGCCACCCCATATATCCATACCGGAATCATATTCTCCCAGTTCAGAGAAATATTTACGATCCATTGCAAAAAGTCCTCCAGCCATAGTTGGCGATCTATCGGATAGAAAAAAAAAAAACACGCTGTTAATCACAATTACTATGATATTATGATTACAACGTATTTAACTTACTTGATCGGATTGACGAAATCTTCATTGGTATTGAGTGTATTGATTGGCAAGCTATCCCACTTGAAGTGTAAGCCCCAGTTGAAACCACCTCTAACTAATGGGCTTGGAGTGTACTGGAAGGTATCGGCATTGATAATGTCAATCACGGGCATTGGCACGATTGTTTTTGATTGAGTTATCCTAGACAGTAGAGGCTCGATCCAAACTTTGTTGACTTCGATGTGACTGTCTAGAAAAACTAAAACGTCTCCGGTGGCTCTTCTAGCGCCAAATATTCTCGCTCTGATCAGACCCTCCCTCTCATCTGTCTTGTAATACCTGATCTTAGCGTGTTCACCTGCAAATTCTTTTACTCTTTCGTGCAGGCTATCATCGTCACTGTAATCATTGACCAGGATGATTTCGTGCAACAAATTTTCCGGAGTTCTGTTCATAATTGAATATAAGGATCTCAACAGAGTACCGTAGTGCTCGTTGTAAAAGCATATCACAATACTAGCGCTCGGGAGATTATTTTCGTAAGTCAGATTTCGGCACAGTTTGTGTCTAGTGTCGGGAATCTCTCTTTGCAAGCCGAGATTGTCGGAGACAAGTACGTTGAACGCATACTTCTTATAGCCCTGGTCCCTTTTGTTCTGCTCGTCGAGGTTTTTTACCATCCCCAATTCATCGAGACCTTGGGAAAAAGACATTGAAATTCACAAATGAAGTCTTGAAAATGTGCCAAGTAAAAACACCTCACCGTTTCCCAACGTCACAGCTAGCTTAATCGGCACAGGCTTGAGTTGCTGCAACAACTTTTCACTGTTTGTGTATTTCGATTTTTTATCATAGAGATCGTTACCCATTACGTCCTTGTAAATATTGTGGATAGAATTGCTGGATTCGAGCCTCTGTTTGTTGGGACGATCAAAGATAGACTCTTTGAACAAGTCTGGCTCATGGGATTCAAACATCGTTGGATTGATGATGGCATTGTCGTTTCTTGAGAGCCTTGAGTAAAGGTATAAACTGAAGCCCCAGGTGATGGACGCTATGACGATCCCGTAGAAAAAGGAAGCGAATCTTGTTGATATCATCTGCAAGTGAGGATTTAAAAGAAATGAAAATCGTTTTTTTTTTTTTTTCTTTTTTTTTTTCATAGATAAAATATTACTGCACAAATGACAAAGTAACGAAAAAATCTCTCTCACTTTAGCTGCGTAGCATGTCGTGGATAAACATATATTATAATTCACTTTATTCGTATTAAAATTCTATCCCCCCAAATGTAAGAGGTAACTTCAACATACAAACATTACAAACAAAAATATGAGCTACATGTGCTGTGGTGCTCTTCTTTTTACGTTTGTTTTGTTATTGTTGTTGTTGCAGCGCGAGAAGCGCGGCTGATGAGCTGGAGAGGGAGAGAAGAGCCGTGAGAGAGAAAGAGACAATATTACATTTTTTTTTTTGTATAGTAAAGTAAGTAGGTAAGAAACGCAGCACGGCAGCACGGCAGCAGTCGCAATCTTATAGTTGGTATATCAGGTTGGGTCTCGGTCAAACTCTTATATTTTTTTACATTCCACAGATGTGTTAAGTATAGTTTGTTGTGTTGCATTCTTATAGATCATAATTGGGTTTTTCTTCCATCTGAGCTTTCGCTAGCCACTAAGAAGAGGTTACTTCCGGAGAGTTTCGAAATATCAACAAGTTGCCAGGATGGTCGATTACAGCAAGTGGAAGGATATCGAGGTGAGCCAGGGTTTTGCACGCGTCGGCAGAAAATTCTGGAAACCAAACTGAAACTGCGGCTCTTTTTTTCCCTGGATTCGTACACGATCTTAGTTATTTTTTTACCGTGTGTTAAAAAATCCAAACTTACTTCGGAAGCGGCTCATTGTAAATTTTTTTTTTTTTTTTTTTCAAAGTTCTATGTTATAGATAACAGAGTATGAGTCGTTTTCTAGAGTACTGCAGATTAAAAAAAATCAAGTAGTTTTCTAGTTGGCCTAAGAGTGTGGAGAGGAATAGTTTTAATGATGAAACATTTCCTCCGTGTATTTATTTTCAATAGATCTCAGATGATGAGGATGACACCCATCCCAATATCGACACACCATCGCTGTTCAGATGGAGACATCAAGCCAGATTGGAAAGAATGGAGGAGAGAGAAAGAGAGAAGCAATTGTTCATCCAGAAAAAAGAAGAGTGAGTGTAGTGTAAAATAAATTTCTTTACATAGTCACACTATTCATACCAATCGATGTTTCATACTATACATTTGTTCCAGTCGAATTTTAAGCTCATTTGCTGGGAAATACTGTACAAATATTAATCTGTAATTTTAAAATGTCTTTTTTGTAGAAAAAAAAAAGTTACAGACTGTATAAAACGAATCGGTAGATAGAAAGAACCAAGCTAATAGTATGAATAGTGCAGTGTATTGTTACTGTTGTTGTATTTCATTAAATATTTTTTTGTTCCTAACACGATTGTAGAACTGAGAAAAAATTGAAAGAAACCAAAGAAAAAGTGATCGAATTGAAAAAGCAACAGGTAACCTCGACAAATTTGGAGACACTAGAGAAGGCATTGCAAGATCTAGAAAAAGAGCAAGAGGAGTTGAAGCAGAAAGACTTGGAAATGAAAAAGAAAGAGCAGCTTACTCCCTGGAATGTGGATACCATTGCTCAGGAGGGTTTTACCAAAACTGTGATTAACAAAAAAATTCCAAGGAAGGATGACGATTCTTGTTTGCCGGATGAGGAAAAGGAGAAGATCATGAAAAAGTTTGTCAAGGAGAATGAAAAGAAGCTTAAGGAATATGGTATGCTAAGAAGGTACGATGACAGCAAAAAGTACTTGCAAGACAATCCTCAGTTAGTCTGTGAAAATACAGCCAACTATTTGGTTATTTGGTGTATAAATTTAGAAATGGAGGAGGTAGCATATTATATTACTATTCATAATTTCCAATACTTTGTTTAAAATCAATAAAACCCATCACTTAAAATTTCAGAAACATGACCTAATGAAGCACGTTGCTCACCAGTGCATATGTATGCAGTATATTTTGGAACTCTCAAAACAGTTAGATGTCGATCCTAGGGCGTGCGTTGGCTCGTTTTTCAGTCGCATACAGATTGCCGAAGTTGAATACAAAAATTCGTTTGACGACGAGCTTAGGTTGTTTAAGGAAAGAATTCGCAAGAGAGCAGCTGAAAAGCTCGCTCAAGCCATGAAAGAAGCCGAAGAAGAGGAAAGAAAGGCTCGTCTAGGCCCTGGTGGATTGGACCCAGTTGAAGTGTTTGAAAGTCTTCCAGAGGTATTTTTCTTTCTTTTGATCTCTTTGAGCATCTATTTTTGTTTTTAAAAAAATGTTTGTGATTTACTTTAATTAAAACTTTTACAGCCCTTGCAAAAATGCTTTGAAGTGCAAGATATTCCACTACTACAGAAGACCATTGCTGAAATGCCAGAAGACGAGGCGCGATATCACATGAAAAGATGTATCGACAGTGGATTATGGGTGCCCGATGCAAAGTCCAAGGAAAAAATTGACGCTCCAGCAGAAGAAACGACAGAAAAATCCTCAACCGAAACACCAGATCCTGAATAGTTGCAATCTGAACAAACGGTATCTTACTTATGCCACAAATTACTTGTGTGCAAAAGGTTACTTGAAATCGAAATAACGTGTATTTTTAATCACTACCTTGGAATCATGCTTTTCTTATAGTCAATCGTTTAAATAGTTAGTTGTAATGACTGCAAAAATAAGATGATTTTCATTCGTTGGTCGAAAACTGCAATGAAACCGCGAGCATTCGAGATATTATACTTGTAATTACTTTTTGTTTCACAGCTGCATTAAAATTTTTGTTCTTCGTATTACTTACTCGAGATAGTCGGTTTCATTGATTAGTAATTACTCATATTTGTATTACCTTTTACCTAAAGACTTTTTTTTTTTATATTATTTTCCACTTCGTACACATACTTGGCAATCGCGTATAACATAAGTTGTATAATGTTGAGTATATTTGTATTGAATACTATACTTTTTATTGGAGACTAGCATTTGAATTGTACATAAATGAAATATACTATTTTTTGAATGTCAACTTAGTTTTTGGCACATTAAATCGTTTTAATCCTATTACGTTTAAATAAAAGTACTAATGACCTAATTGAATAAGACTGTCTTTAAAGGAGATGTTAAAATTTTAATGAAAAAAAAACTTTACATGCTTTTTTTGTATAATCGTAGATTCATATTTTTGTGTACAGCTCTCCTGCCTGTATGTCAATACTGATATTGAGAAAAAATAGTTAAGCAATAAATGAAAACTGATTTCTCAACATTGAAAATTGAAACAACAAATTCTCACATTGGGCCTTACCACGGCTTTTAATACATCGCGCAAAAATTCAGTTATTAATGTCATCATAGAAGGATTCATAGGAATTGTGCCTCTCGTTAAGTTTAGAAGCTCAAGAGATTGGGAGGGGAAAATCATGTTTGTTAATAATTTTTAATTATAAGCTAACCAAGCCATTTCAGTTATTTAAAATTATAATGAATGTAAAAACACCATTTAAATGATTTACAAGTTATTTCTTTTTTTTTTTGAGATAAGTAGCTCTTTTATTGTTAATAAAAAATGAAATTATTAACTGATTGAACTCTACACCCCGGGTCATTTGGTTCAAGGGCTGAAGAGTACAGGGTTATGGGGTGAGCTTGAATTAACGTTGAATGGTTTTAGAACGTTTGAATTTGTCGCTAGGCGGGTGTCCCGGGTTGGCCAAAAAAAAAGTAAAATTACCAAAAATACCAAAAAACAATGCGCATGCACGTAGCTTTTTAGAGACTATCGACTCTCGAAACAGTGATGGGAATCGAAAATATATACTTTTGCGATTTATCGCACATAGTGATAGAGCCTACGACAGTAATATGAATCATTCATTATTGATACCGAAATTTACGATCAATGGTACAGATAATGAATTTTTATTTACTATTAAATATTACAATAGCTTGTTTTTAGATCAATTTTTTTAACAGAGCTTTCTACGCCTCCAAAGCTCGATTTTACTTTCGATACTATCGATCCCTCGCAACGATCGAATCGAACGCAACATGCGAACAAAACGTTTGACTGACGTTTGCGTTGCGCGGCGCTTCTCCTTTTCCCGAGCGGAGCTGCGGCGACGACGACCTGGGGCTGGGGCTCGAGCTGATGGGTAAAATATATAATAAATTTTCGTCTCGCATTCACGTCCGCATAGCGTAAAAGAGCACAACGAATAAGAACGAGACCCGCTGCAGAGGGACTTGCCATCTCGACGACTTCGACCAAGGAGGACAGTACGAAAAACGACGCCAACAGAGCCACAACTCTCGTCTCCATCGATACCCTGCACCAGCTCGTCCATTGTTATCACTCCTGCCTGCAGCAGCTGTGGATACACGTATATATATATACATATAAATTTATAAGTACGTTACACACATACAGGTATACAGAGGTCAACCAACGGGACCCAGGGCGGCGACGACGGCGATGTCTGTTCCATCCTCGACATCCACTCTTCCACGGCCTTCACACGTTCTATGCTGAGTTTGTGTGTTTTTTTGTGTATACGTTGAAACTAAAAGGTATGTGAGGTATGTCCTAATTTCTGCACAAGTCCCATTGAAGAAAAATTAATTTTTCCCCGACCATTTTGCGACCAAGTACTTCCTAGTCGAGTCCAAAGACGAGAAAAATTAGCTCAGGTCGTAATGGCGTCGTTTTCTTAAAGTGTCTTAGCGACGAACGCTCTTTTCGACCATACATTCTGGTAATTTATTATCTCTGAATCGCCAATATATTTAGCTGCTTACAGCTTGTTTCTCTGACATGAAGTAATTTTCGTCCCCTTCCACTCTTCCCTTTTTTCATTTTTTTTATTAAAGTTGCAAATCCACTATTTACAAGGTTTGATACTAAGTTGTAGCTCTAAGCGTTTCGAAAGAAGCGTCCATGTTTGCGACAAAATGGTTCTTGACTAATGGGTGTCGTCGTATTTTTTTACATTAAAAAAGTCACCAAAGTATTCGCTCTATGTTGTGCTTCAGAGTTACGTGAGTTACTGCATAACTAAACATTTTGGACCCCTTTGGAAAATGATGCAAAAATTGAAAATTATCTTTTATCTTGATACTAAGTTGATAATCGAGTTCAGTGACATATTACTTCGTTAAAATCGTATATTGGACTATTTTTGATAGCTTGCTTGAATTACATTAAAATAAACTATGAAATCTTGCTTAAAAGTTATTTTTAGACGATGTAACGACATCTCAAACTAGACTAGATTATCTTTTGATCGTCTTCTAATTTATTTTTGATAGCATTAAAATTATCTCAAACTAATCATACACTGCATATTTTAGCCTTATTTACATATTTTTTAAACTTGATTTTTCAATAGCTTTACTGAAATGTTCAACAAGCAACGACCACAAAAATAATCTGTACGTCCCCTTGTATCTAAAATCGTTAATCTACTTAAATGTGTACATTATATACAGGTGCTCACATACATGTCCTCTTTGTCTTTAAATATGCATTCAACATTTTCATTATTACTATCTTATAAACCCAACAACAATTTCTCAAAATTTAAGAATTCCATTAGAAGTTTTCTTAATAAAAAACAAAAATTTAAGACGGGCCCTTCTCCAGATAGGTGTTTGGTCCTGTATTTCAAACATATAGAACCGAATTTTTATCCAAAGTTGTCGTAAGTAGTCCATCCACGCATCTCAGGCAATTGAAACATCTGTTTCTTTTTATTTTCCCTTGCTGTGCTACCTCTTGAAAATCAATTCATTGTTACGTCATAAAAATCACTATGAGAATATAAACGGTAAACGCGAGTCTATCAAGGTCGTGCATGAATCGATTGAATGCTATGGTACATATATATATATATACTTTGTACGTCTTTCTATCTGTCATAACAATTACATGTCACTTAGTCTCACGTAATTGTAGCGCATCGTAATCAAATCAACTATTGTTTCCTTTCGGCTTTCAATTCTTACAATTTCTTAAGTGGTTCGACCTTCTTTGTTTATCGCTTTATTGTACATTAAAATTCTCCTATCGTTTAAAAATACTGAAAGAAAGTCCTTTTTTTCCGTTCAAAGTACACTAGTCGTATCTTAATTCGCAAACCTTAAAACTCAAATTTGTGTGAAAGTATTTGTCCCATTAAAACACTAAGAACAAATATACTTACTTAGCCGTAATATAAAAATACAGCAATAATAACTGAAATTTCTTGTAATAATACACTTCAAACCTTCAAATCTTGTGTTCTGCGAATTAAGATACGGACGGTATATGACACGATACTCTGACTTTAATATGAAGCTCTCATTGATTAGATAAAATGGCGATAGCATACGAAAATCTACAGAAGAGTACACACTGACTAGTAGCTAATTTATCCCATTTGAAGTTTCAAACAGTTTTTTTTTCCCCCTTTTACAATAAAATAAGCTACCACTTGAATTTTCTAATTAAAAAGAACCTCGACTCGGAAAATTTCCACGGAATGTCGCAAACGGTGAAATTAACGAAGGCGCGCGGCGTTGCCAAACTACGAGCGCTAGATTAACGCGAATTTCAAGGCTCGCAAATTTACGTTTTCTATGATAGAACTCGCAGTGTCTTTTTCAAACGGGACCCGACAAAAGCCCAAGCCGTTACAGATGCACATATTTCGCGTAACAATCATGAACCGCATTTCCAAAATCAAAGACAACTCGGAATTGAATTTCGCGCTCGAAGAAACGGAAACCTTGTCCACCCCTGCACTTCCTTTAAGAATATCGACGAGTCGAGAAAACGGCTACGTGATTCGCGGAAAGTCAAACGCGTCAGCCGGCTACGTTCCCCGAGAAGAAGCAGCTTTCGATCAACGAACCCGCGACTGTCATTCGAACCGTCCCAAGACGATATTTAAAAATTTATCTTGTTCTAGAACGTTTCCAATTTTTAAAATATACTTCTGTAAACAAACGACGTTGAAACGGTAAACTTTCGTACGCGCTCCAAAAAAAAAAAACAATCTTACAGTCCTTTTCGTGAAAATTAAATAAACAAAATTAAAAGAACCTTTCGAGTCGTTAAAAAAAAAAAAAAAAAAAAATCCCCTCGATCGAGCGGTCATGCGAACACCCTGACGCCGCAACGTCGTCGACGAGGAGCAAGAGACAACAAAAAGTACCGTCTTTTTCTCTTCAAACGTGCGCGCGCAGAGCGGAGAGATGACGAAGGACGTTTGTGCGCAAGTCTGACGTAGACCGCCGCACGTAACGAAAAAAGAGGGAGGGAGGGAGAGAGAGAGGAACGCCACTAGTCGACTGGCACAAAATGGCGGCCTAGCACAGGGTCTGTGACAATCATATAGTGCGTGAATTTTTCGCTGCGTGATATGCCCGCGATTGGCGGCCAAGTTCAAGTCTGACGATTCGATTTTTTTTTGTTTTTTTTCGAATCAAAGGAAAATAGAAAGAAAAAAAAAACACGGGGTACCTAGAAAAAAACGCTGGGAGCCACGGAAACTACGCGCAAGCAAGACGGCGACCGTGCGATATGCAGGTGAGTGTGTGTGTCTGCTGCTCGCGCTCCTCTCTCTCTGTGCGAGGACTTGGTTGATTTCTCGGCTGTTTCGGACTATTTCCGTACAGATTTTCAGCTTTTGTTGCATATTTTCGACATAATCGGGCATCGGAGCGTCGATTAACTCGAAATATTGTCATGTGGCACTTGATGTTGGTTTGGAATGTTACTCCCAAGTCGGACACTTGGGCTCGTCTGGCCGGCTTCGAGGACGATTATTCGCCTTAAAACGGAAAATAAGGACCCGGGTTGAGTTTTCGGGTGCTCAGGAGGGTTGGGCGTTGCCTCGCGGTCGGCCCGAGTCTAGCTGCGGGTCGCTCTTGAACTTAGTTTTTTCGCTATCATCAAGACTTTTCCCGTCCCGGAATAACCTATAAGTTTGTTTACATCCTCTTTATAAGTCCTTTTAGTCCACTAGGAGCTCGTGTTCCACCAATATTACTTTTCTGTAGGGTTCCTTAGGGTTCAACCTTGCCTGGAAGTATGGTTATTTGAAAATTCTTTATAGACCCATTTTTGCAAATTCAGCTCAAAGTTTACCTTCTTTGGTTCCACAGATGTCTTCTACTGCATATCATGTGTTTATGATGTCAGTATGTGCTTTATTGTAAGCTCTAGTGACAAAAATCCTTCAGTTGTTTGTCTAGGTTTAGTCAAACTTTGCTCCGTAGTCCTCCGTTAGATTTACCCAATAATTTCCCATGGAATTAAGCCGTTTTTGTCATAGAAAAGTTTCCCTGTAAAGCTTATTTTTGTGAATTAAGGACTTTTGCAGAAGTTTCTTTAGGACAATGTCTCACATCATTTGTAACAAATCAAACAAATGTGTCAAATTTTGAAAGTAGGCTATGGTATATTTATTCTTGATGTGAATTATCAGCATCGATAGATGTGTTTAAACTAAAATTTCAATTTTATAGCATGCCATGGACCTTTTAACGTCAACAAGTGTTTTTTTTTTCAAATTGAGGTTTGTTTCAACATTTTTCAAAACATGAAACCGTTGATTCAAACATTTTATTTTTTTTTTTTGTATGAGAAATTAAAAATTAACATTGTGAATTGAACATATTTTTACTTTTTGTTGTGATCTAGACCCTATTAGCAATATTTTCAAAAAAATTTGAATTTTTATTTCACTACTACATTTGAGTTTTATTCATAAAATTGTATTTCAACTTGAAACTTACAACTTTACTGCACTTGTGAGATAAAGTTTGTTAAAAATCACTTAATTGTCTGATAAACCACTTGGTACGTTAATGATATTTTTTTCTCAATTGTAAACTACATAAAATACTATTAAACTTCTTGTAATTTTACAAAGTAATATCTGATATATGTTAAATAAACGTTTTAATTTTAACATCACAAAAAAACACATAATCCAGATTTTCACATAGTATATTACATTGTTGAATTATTAAGTATTTAAAATATTTCTAAGTTAAGACTTAATCTAGTCATTTTAGCATAATGTAACATTATGTATAGAAAAAAAATGGTATTAAATGAATAAATAGTTTATTTCAAATATCTCCTGTTTCTTATAATTTAAATAAACTACCCTAAAATACTGCGTTCTTAATTTTATTAAACTTAAACATTGTACCAAAATGGTCTTGATGCACTTTTTTAAGGATTCAAAACTTCCATTACACTGTTATAGAAAAAAAAACTCATAATTTTCCTAATTTGTACTTTATTTTCAACTTCGTTGGCTAAAGAAAAGTCTATTCAAGATGGTGGATTCATTACATAAAATGGAGGACTTGGCTTGCATTGGGGGAAAAAAAAAACTTTTGAGTCTCAAGCACACTTATACATTTTTTTTCTCTCGACTATTCATATTTAATGAACTGCCTTAAAATTACCTATTCATGGAAAAACACTTGTTCAGATGAAAATAACCAATGATGGTTATTAAAAGAACACTTGCACTTATGTAATAGTATTATTTGCAAACACTGGGTTTGCTGCGAAAAACTGAAAATAATTTAACCATTCCAAACAACATCTGAGCCACAGAGACAATAACTCGAATTTTAGAATGAATATGAACCTGTTCCATTAATTTTTAGAAATCTGAATCTGGTAAAGAATCTGCATCAGATTCTGAAAATGAAAGTAAGAGCGAAAATGGGAGCAGTTCTTCGGGAAGCAACTCTGGGTCTGGCTCTGGATCAGAAAGGTTGGTAAAAACTATTTACACGTGATCTTTGAAAAGCCCAGTAAGTAGAATGGAATACTTCACAGTTGATAAAAGAAAAGAAAAAAAGTACAGAAAGCTCATTATTTATGTAAGTTTAAATGATAAATGTCATGTCAATCTAAAAATAGAAATCATTTGAGTGTGGACTCCACCGCTTATAAAACTAACAAAGCAAATTTTTTTTGTTTCTTATTTGTGAGCTGTATACAAAATTTCTTACATCTAATATCACTTCATGCTTTTGTTTAGCACATCATTCATACACTTACGATTGCTTCATCTCTTTTTTGTCTTGACTGTAATTATGATGATTTTGTAAATGATGTACTACTTAACAAAGCAGCTTAATATATGTGCAAACTCGCTAATGAATGTATTGCATGAACGTAGGGTATAACTCATAACTTCATTTTTATTAATTTTGTTGTAATAGTTATGCATTTAAGGCTTTATAATCAAACAAAAAAAATCATTTCGGCAGCAATAATACACTTTTATTTCCGTATTAAATAGACAATATCTGCTGAGTATATTTTAAAGTAGCTCTGCAAGTAAATTTTCGATCTGTGCTCGTGACTTTGATTTCTCGTCCAAGTAAAGGGTTGAAATATATACATTTTGCATTTCGTTATTGAATCAAATTAGAGATCAGAATTTAAAAGAGAAAAAAAGTGATGTGCTCTGTAAAACCGATAGCAATGAATAGACAAAGGTAGATAGGCACGTAAGGAGTAATGGGATGCAAAGACAAATAGTACAGCTAGAGAGCCTACTTATTTATCTAAATGAAAACAATCCTTGTACTTGGATATTGCTATAAGCAGTGGATCTAGCTCCTCAGGCTCTGGCTCAAGCTCTGACTCTGAAGCTGAAGAAAAATCAGTCGATGAGAACAACAGGTTCAAGGTGGGTGAGGACGAGGAGGAGGGCAACGACGAAACACCAGCAGCCCTCGGCAATAGCTTTCAGAGCAACAGGAGCTCCAACCACAGCGATAATCAGTCAAGGTCTAGCAGACACAGGAGCAATAGTATTAGTCGCGAATGGGAGGAGAATCCTGATATCTATGGCATCAGAAGGTCAGGCAGGTGCAGGAAGGAGCCAGACAGGCTCGCAGTTACCCAACCGGAAAGTGACAACGAAAACAGAAAGAAAGTTATAAGGAAGAGGTAAGGGCTCCGAGGATATCTCTCAGAGTGGCGACTTGAAAATCGACGCCATGGGAGAGAGAAGCCTTTTTTTTTATTATTACACGAGGTGGTTTAGGTTAGACGATTCTTTTAAGGGTATCATTTAGGAAAGTCGAAAGCTTTTATCTTGTATTGTCATCATCCTGAATTACTTAGTAAGGTGCTGGTAGACTACGCCAAGGATATTTTTTTTTACATCATGTGTTTAGTAAACATTAGTTTGGCAGTTGTAAGTAAGCAGAGAGTTACACATACAGACAACCGGCAGTTAAGTGTGTGTGTAATAATGCACATGCAAGAGTACGCATTGCTTTCATTGAAGGATGAACTCATTTATTTCCTTGAATCGTATCAGATGGAATCGATGAACTCTTTTGCTGCAATTAAATAAAAATTTGCAATTTTCAAACTGAAACAAGAAATAAAATTCATAATTCACTTTTACAATGATTTACACTTGAATCTATGAAAAAACACTTACATTGCATCAGTCATAATGAACACTTGCTTTATTCGCTTTGCGGAATCCACGACTTTCATTTGAGTGTTGGGATTTTTGCAATTTTACCACTAATCAAAATGAATGTTTAAAATTTTTGGAACAATAAGTGTACCCAGCAATATTTTTACAATTTTAAATCACTCACCTTTTATTAACTTATCTTTTTTTTTTTGCAATGTTTTTGTGTGGTATAACATGAAATTATTAATGTGTGGGACAAGTAACATCCAAAACATGTACTAATCTGGATTGCATTTAGTTGTTAAACATCTCGCGTACGTCAGTTGAAAGAAAATTTTATGCTTTAGTACTTAAGAAAAAGTTAATTTTTTTTTTTTTTTTTTTTTTTTTTTTTTTTTAACTAAATACATTTTACTATTTCTCGAAGTTTGTTGACTTGTACACAAGTATAGCTTACGATTTATTCGTAGTTAATACAAGACGCAAAAATAACTTTAGTTAAGTAAAACAAAATCGTTATTGGCAGAGACAAAAAAAGAAATCCACTGCGACGCCAATTTTTTAATTTTTTTATTTTTGTTTTTAATGAAAAAAAAATTGAAAGTTAAAAATAATCCCAACAGTTCTCAGAACGCGTGGAACTCTGACAGTTCAGAGTCAGAATCCGACGATGCGGATGTCAAGAGGCCACCACCGAGCAAGTCCATTTACCGGAAAGCCGTACAAAAGGCCAAAGAAAAAGCGAAGCCTCGAAGGAAGCGTGTCTCCGTATCCTCGGAAAATTCTTCCTATGACAGCGATGAAAAGAGGTTCATACATTTATTACCTGCTTGTTTGATAACTTAAAAAATCGGTTAACTACTTTAACTCCAAAAAATCGATGAACTCATCAACACGTGGATGCCGCAGCGGAATAATATAATTGATGAGGTTTGGTTCGTTAAGGGCAGTGTCCTTTTTTTTGTGTCCCATATTTTCAGCACAAAATCTTTCCATACCATGAGACTTATTTTCACTGTAGCATCAATTCAACAAATTACTCAAGCAACTATAAATCCAAGGACCCCAAGCCATCATTAAAAAAAAAAATTTTTTTTTTACACAATAGACAAGTTACAAGGCGATCAGGCGCACAGGTCAGTTACAAGGAGGAGAGCGAGGTCGAAACGGACAGCGAGGATCTCATGGAAGTCGACGAGACGACGGCCGCAGCCGAGCCCGCTGAGCCCGACAACGCCGAGACCATCGAGAAAATTTACGGCCAACGCATCGGCAAGAAAGGAGGTAATATACGACCTCCATTTCCTAGACAATCCAGTAGATCTTGGGTCAATCGAGTAAAAATAACACCAATCGATAAAGTGGTAGGTAACGTGACGACAGTCTACGCGGTCGAGGAGAATGGAGATCCGAATCCGGAAAACTTGGAGGGCGAAGAGACTGAAACTCAGTACCTGATCAAGTGGAAGGGCTGGTCGCACATACACAACACGTGGGAGTCCAAGGACTCTCTGGCCGCCCAGAAGGTCAAGGGAATAAAGAAATTGGAGAACTTCATCAAGCGCGAACAGGACATCAGCGATTGGAGGAAGTACGCCGGTCCCGAGGACATTGACTACTTTGAGTGCCAGGCGGAGTTGCAGCAAGACCTGTTAAAGAGCTATTACAACGTCGAAAGGATCATTGGTTGGTGAAATTATATAATATATTTATCCTTGCTTAGTAGATCGTGTAATGTATCGTAAATTATCCAGCCGAAGCCGAAAAACCAGATTCCGATCATCCCGATTACTATTGCAAATGGGAGAGCTTGCCGTATTCGGAGTCCACGTGGGAGGATGGCGCGTTGATAATAAAAAAGTGGCCGGAAAAGATAAACGAGTTCCGTGATCGCGAGGACTCCAAGAGGATACCCAGCAAACACTGCAAGGTGCTGAGGCACAGGCCAAAATTCCATCAGTTGAAGGAGCAGCCGAGTTACATGGGCAAAGATGAGAACTTTGTGCTCAGGGATTATCAGATGGACGGCTTGAATTGGATGATACATTCGTGGTGTAAGGACAACAGGTGCTTATCCGCTGTGATGGAGTTGTTAGTTTCTTAAGGATGATATGCATATGTATTTGATGCGTTTGCTTACAGTGTCATATTGGCAGATGAGATGGGCCTTGGCAAGACCATTCAAACCACGTGCTTCTTGTACTACCTGTTTCACACTCAACAACTTCACGGCCCTTTCTTGCTGGTCGTGCCTCTATCGACAATGACGTCTTGGCAAAGAGAAATAGTCCAGTGGGCTCCGGACTTGAATTTTGTCACTTACCTGGGTGACGTTACTTCGCGCAATGTTGTAAGCGTCCTTAAATCAAGTTGATGTCTTGCTTTCATTTGATGCAATTACAATCTTATCGTATCTCCTTGTAGATCAGAGACTACGAGTGGTGTTATGATTCCAAGAGGCTCAAGTTCAACGCAATTCTGACGACGTATGAAATCGTCTTGAAAGACAAGGCATTTTTAGGAGCCATCAATTGGGCTGTACTCTTGGTTGACGAAGCGCATCGTTTGAAAAACGATGACTCACTTTTGTACAAAGCTTTGGCCGAATTTCACACGAACCACAGACTACTTATCACAGGAACCCCGCTGCAAAACAGCTTGAAAGAGTTGTGGGCTCTGTTGCATTTTATTATGCCAAACAAGTTGGTGTTTTTTTTTTTTTGTTCTTCTCGAGACAATATTTTACAATTGTAAATGACTATTGGATGAGTATTGTAGATTCGACAGCTGGGAAGACTTTGAAAAGGAACACGACAACGCTGCTCAAAAAGGCTACTCGAAGCTGCACAAACAATTGGAGCCATTCATTTTGAGGAGGGTAAAGAAGGACGTGGAAAAATCTTTACCAGCCAAGGTCGAGCAGATATTGCGCGTCGAGATGACGTCGTTGCAAAAACAGTACTACAAGTGGATATTGACGAAAAACTTTAACGCTTTGAGAAAGGGCAACAAAGGCTCGACCTCGACCTTCTTGAACATTGTGATCGAGTTGAAAAAGTGTTGCAACCATGCCTTTCTCACGAGGCCAAATGAAAATGAGAACAGAGAAAGCAACATGGATTATCTGCAACAGATCATCCGTGGTTCTGGCAAACTCGTCTTGCTAGACAAGCTTCTCGTTCGGCTCAAAGAGACGGGGCATCGTGTCCTGATCTTCTCGCAGATGGTTCGGATGCTGGATATTCTCAGCGAGTATTTGCAGAAGCGACACTTTCCCTTCCAGAGGCTCGATGGTAGTATCAAAGGGGAGCTGAGGCGTCAGGCATTGGATCACTTCAATGCTCCTGGCTCGCAGGACTTTTGTTTCCTGCTATCCACGCGGGCCGGCGGTCTTGGTATCAATTTGGCTACCGCTGATACTGTCATCATATTCGATTCCGACTGGAATCCCCAGAACGATTTACAAGCTCAGGCCAGAGCTCATAGAATAGGTCAAAAAAACCAGGTGAAATTTCACGGAAATAAAACCAAACCGATATAAAGTTATCGAGCCTTACATTTTGAACATCGTATTTCTTGCAGGTCAATATTTACAGATTGGTTACGAAAAGCTCGGTAGAAGAGGAGATCGTTGAGCGCGCCAAGCAAAAAATGGTACTTGACCATTTAGTTATACAAAGGATGGACACTACCGGTAGAACCATATTGGACAAAAAAGGTTCCAATACAAACAACAACCCTTTCAACAAGGAAGATCTGAGTGCCATTTTGAAATTTGGAGCCGAAGAGTTGTTTAAAGACGAAGAGGACGGTGATGAAGAACCTACAGTAAGATATTTGCTTAGGCTTTTTTTTTTCGTACAACAAATGAACTTTTCGTAATGTAATTTTTTTTCCCCCTTAGTGCGATATCGATGAGATCTTGAAAAGAGCCGAAACTAGGGACGAAGGGCCTGCCACAGTTGGAGACGAGTTGCTTTCAGCGTTCAAGGTAGCCAGCTTCGCCGCTTTCGAAGAAGAGCCCGAACCTCTTCCTCAAACCAACGAAAATGACGACGAAAGCAAAGACTGGGTAATTAAACTCCAAAATTTTCACTCGTGATGAATTTTTTTTGCAATAATTCATTATCTCATTTAAAAAAAACTCGGCTTTTAGGCTGAAATCATTCCTGAAAACTTCAGAGCAAAGGTAGAGGAAGCCGAGAAGAGTAAAGAGATGGAGGATCTGTATCTTCCGCCGAGAAGTCGAAAGACCCTGCAACAGATCAACGAAGCTGACAACAAGGGCAAGAAGAAGAAAAAAGCTCAGTCGGGTGACGAGAGTGACGACGACGAAGAGTCTGGCAGTGACGAGGATGGAAGTGATGACGGGAGGCCAAAGCGACGCGGAAGACCGCGAATGCAGCCTCGAGAAAATGTTAAGAGCTTTACCGATGTAGAGGTAAGTCGAACTCTCATCACCCTTGAAACGCCTCTACAGTCCTTCGCCTTGAATTACAGATAAGGCGCTTCATCAAGAGCTACAAGAAATTCCCAGCGCCGCTGAAGAGACTGGACGAAATCGCCGCGGACGCCGACTTGAACGAAAAGCCCACGTCCGAGCTTTCCTATCTGGCTGAACAGCTGCGTTCGCGGTGCGACGCTTGTATGGCCGAGTCTGAGAACAGCGTCGCCAAGGAAAACAAGGCCGAAGAGGAGGACTCCAAGGGCGCACCAGGTCGGAAACGTAAGCGTGGTCCTACTTTCAAGGTCGGCGGAGTGCAGGTGAACGCCAAGTCGTTCAGTGCCGCTGTTACCGAGCTCGAACCTCTGGAACAGGCAATCCCGATGGACACCGAACAGAGAACCAATTGGCAACTTGACGCGAAGTACGTACATGTACAATAGACTTGGGTATTGGGCGGTATTATCCGGCCACTCGTGCGGTAATCTGTAATGAGAAAAAGTAATGATTCGTATTATGATTACAGAGTGAAGCCAGCCAATTTTGAATGCGAATGGACGCTCGAGGACGACACCATGTTGTTGAAAGGTATTTATCAGCATGGAATGGGATCGTGGGAGGCGATAAAAATGGACGAAAGTTTGAAGTTGGGGGATAAAATACTTCTCAACGGTAGTAAAGCACAAATTAAGCGAATTCAAGCTCGAGGGGAGTATCTTTTGAAAATTTTGAAGAAACAGATGGATCAAAAGCTCGGAGTGGTGAGTCGTCGCTCTTGTAACAACCACGTTTTTCGTAACCCCTGTAAAAACGTTTGTTCTCGTCTTTCAGTACCTTCCCGATTCCCATTATAACACTTCCTTTGATTCCTTGTCACAGGTAAATAGCTGTTCCTATCCTTTTTTTGTTGTTTTTTCCAGAGGATAAGAATCAATTGTAGTCTTGTCATTATCTTCATGTTAATGGTAACATTGATTTTCAGACCAAACAAAGAAAACCGAGAAAAGCAAAAGACATAAAATCAGCGATCACGAAGGAAATAATTGAGGAAAATGAGAGCTCCGGCGACGAAAAAAAAATCAAACCAAAGATTGAAAAGGTATGAATTAAAATGTCTACCTTCGCTAATATCAGCCATTTTAATTCAACACCTATTGTAATGGTTTAAATATCGCAGCCACCCGTCAAGAAAGAGGAGGAACCTGTGGTTGTAAACAAAAAAGAAGTGAAAGAGGAGACCGAAGCAGTAGTAATACCTGTAGAAGACAAGAAAAAAGAAAAAAAAATTAAAAAAGAAAAGAAAGAGAATAAAAAAACCAAAAAAACCAGCAAACAATCCGGACCGATGCATTTTACAGCAAACAACGAACCAAGAGCGCTCGATGTTCTGGGAGATTTGGATCCTTCGATATTCAACGAGGTATTTGTCATTGAAAAATTTTGATGTAAACTCACATCGCGATGTTAATTAAAAAAAAAAAAATGTAATTCTCAGTGCAAAGAAAAAATGAGACCGGTTAAAAAGGCGCTCAAAGCTTTGGACAGGCCGGACCAGTCGCTCAGTGAATCGGAACAAGTAGCTCACACGCGCCAATGTCTCGTGCAAATTGGCAATCAAATAAACACTTGCCTCTCGGAGTACAAGGATCCTGAACAGATCAAGGAATGGCGAAGTAATCTTTGGTACTTTGTATCGAAATTCACCGAGTTCGACGCCAAGAAGCTTTACAAATTGTACAAACACGCCACTAAAAAAGGCGAAAGCGGTAGCGTGACCCCGAGTCCAGAAAAAAAGGAAGATAATAATACAGTCAAGGTATGCGTTTCGTTAGCTACTTTTCTCCTCCCGTAATGTGACACTTTATACGGTAGCTATAAAATATTTACCAAATTTATGGTTCAATTATACCAGGACGACGCCAAGCATAACGCCAAAAACGCCAAGGAAAACAGGGACAACCGAGGCGTGAAGCGACGAGTAGAGGACTTTGAGGATAACTCAAACAGCAGCAGCACCCCAGTGAAAAAGCACATGATCTCGTCGTCGACGCTGGGCAACATCGGTAGCTCGTCCTCGTTAACAATCGGCGCCATTACGATAACTCCCATTACAGCCAGCCCAAACTCCACACCCCACATGGCCAACAGCTTAGACATGCGGCACAAGGATCCAAAGGACTTGAGCAAGCACAAAGATCCAAAGAGGGATAGAGAAAGGGACAGGGATAGGGGTAGGGACAGAGAACGCGATAGGGACAGGGATAGGGAGAGGGACAGAAGTCATGGAGATCGCATGGATAGGCTAGGAGTTAAGGATGAGAGGATCAGAAGAGACAGTGGCGGATACGTCGGTGGTCATTACAGCGGCGGTAGGGATGACGAACACTGGATGACTAGAGACAGAGACTCACGCGATGGCAGGTAAAAAGGATTCGATTTTTTTCTTTTTTTTCCCACGTAATTTTTGTTTTTTCTCAACAGTCGAATAATGTTATTTTGTTTTGCAAGTTGTGGTTACCTCAGTAGGCTAACGTTTATGATGCATTGACAGATAGTTGGAAATTATTGCAGGTTCGCCGACCACAAGCGCGATAGGTTCGACCCTTACAGTAGAATGTCGGGAGGCTATCATCGCGACCGGGACAGAGATCGCGATCGTATGCATATGAACGACAAAAGAGGAGGGTGAGTTTTATTACTATTGTCAAGTATAAAAATTCAATTTTCGGGTATGCAAATCAATCGGTAGCTTCGTTATACGTCGTTTCAGTGATTACTATCGCTACTCTGGAGGTTCAGGTGGCTACGGTTACGGACCAGGTAGTTACGGTTCTGGAGCCGCTGGTGGCGGATATCCGCCCGACATACCACCTGCACACTACCGTGGTGGCGGTGGTGGTGGTGGTCGGAGCTACCCAGCCGGTGATGGCTACCAAGGTGATTGGCGGCCGAGCAAGGACTATCGCAACCGGGACTACGACAGACCGCGTCCGCCCCCGAGCGCTAATTCTTAGTCGTCTGTTAGTTTTTCTACTTATCTTGGTTTTTATTACGGTAATGGCGATGCGCCTGAGATAACTTTTCCTCGTCTCACTGGAGCGCTTTGAAAGACTGGGCGGAATATTTTCTGCTCTGCTTTTGATGGGACTTTGTGGCTTCTGACGCGAGCCAATGCCAACTTATACGCTGCACTTGTATTGCACGGCGATTGTTGCACCAGGAAACCGGCATTGCAAGGGAGTGTCTATTATTGTGAATGCCTATCAGTGGATGCTTTTTTTAAAACTACTTTTAAGACTATGATGTATCGGAAAGGATATTGATAAATGAAATGTGAACGGCTGATTCTCGAGAAAATTTCTTTTCTTTTTCCTTTTTTTCGCAGGGACAAACTGTTTTGGCAGTTTTTTAACTGTTTGATTCACAAAAAAAAAATTTTTTTTTTTTTTGCTTATTTTAATTAACAATTAATTTTTAATGACAAAAGAATTTAAAAAAAGAAAGGGACAAACGCCTTCCTTTGACAGGGTGAGCGACACATGTGGTGCGAACGCTACCTTTTCCTCGTTGTATATTTAATTGATCTGCGATTTTCTTTGTACATCGTGTATGTATGTGTGTACGTGCGTCTGTCGTTGCGTTGCAGGCGCTTCAATTTCGAGAGAGTGAATTTTTCAAGGCTTCTTAACAGTGTAACGCGTGATATATTTTTTAAAACCACAGCTGGATCGTACTGTCGAGAGTCGTATGCGTATTTATATATGAAAGTGGAAGATAGGCACGATATTTAGGTAAAATAGCTCTGAATATAAAAATATGTGGAGTAAGGGCAGGATCGTGTTGTACAGATTTTTATACAAACTCAATCCAAAAGCGATCTTTTCATCCTTGTATAATTATTGTAATATGGAAAATGTTAGTGTAAATGAGAAGATTACATATGTTACAGGTATACAACAATACTGTAGGACAAAAATAAAATACTTGTACAGATAAAACAGGATTAATTTGGATTTTGTATTGCGTTAGCTTCTTTGATTGCTCATCACCGTGCATTCTCATATTTCATATTAGAAGCTATCGTGACCCTTTTCCTCGCTAAATTTTTTATCCTCAATAATAATAATATCGAGTTACGTATGCACTGCTGCTTTCTGATCCATCGGGTACACTATTTTTCTGGTTTTAATTCTGCAATGCCTTGTTTTCTTTCTCTTTTTTAATGTACATCTTCGAGCTCGTGTATGCATTTTGTTTTGTAAATATTAATATGTGTGTCGGAAATTTATGATATAAAAAGTTGATTAAAACCATACAAAAAAAAAGTTTTCGCTGGCTATGATGCGTATCAAGTTCATCGAACGAAAATCATTGTAAAAAGCCATGCGAAAATTAAACTAGCATAATGTGGAAGGTAAATGTAATATCTTGGGAATATTAGATTTCTTTAATAACACCGCCATCGAGATGTATGAATATAGTGAGATGTGTTTATAATTTAATATGACACATAGTCGAATATAAAAATCATGGTTACATGATTCATGCCGAAGAGTTTAATGTATATATTATTAAAAATTAAGTGAATAAAGTAATTATATTAGTAATACGACACATGTTTTACCTTCATTTTTTCACGTGGCCCGCTTTAAGATTAATTTTTTTTCTTATTCATTACTCTATGTATAGGTAAAATTTTGAAATATCCATTGTAAAGTAAGTACAGACAAACGGAAATATCCTAAAAAATAAGAATGAAAACTTCGCGTAAGTCACAAGTATTACACTTACATATTTAAAACACCCATAATTTTGAACTTTACTGAGTATATATAGGAAAGAAAAAACCAAGTAGTTTTTTGGTCAAAAACCAGGCAATTTATTCATAGTGAAGATGCACTTTAAATTTAATTTAATTCTGTAAAAAAAAAACCTAATACAAAAAGCGCACTACTTTCTTAATAAAAATCCGATGAATTGCAATTTTAATATCTAAAGAGACATTTTTGGTATTTCATGTATACCAACACCTAGATCACGATAAAAATATACTGAAAAATGACAAAATCTTGACAAACCCCGTTAATGTAGCTTTCCAAGTTTATTTCACGACTACCTCGTAAGAAAAGTGTAAATTAAAAGATAAAAGCATGTAGAGCGTAAAATTTGCCATCAATCTGGTTCATTACTTTTGTTATTTCCCATTAAAAATTTGGAGATGAACGCACCGTCTACGAGGCCGATCCGATCCCACATACACTAAAATTTGCCAATTAAAAAATGTAATTTTTTTAACTTAATTTAACTTAAACCGAGTTAAATTAACTCATTGGTTGCGCATGCGCCAAAAAGAAAGGCTAAGCCGCTAAGGCTATATATTATAAGGCCAATGGCCAAAAGGTGCTGCCGCAGCCGCACTGCCAACTTGGCAGCAAACTTTTGACCATCACCAATATCATAATCACCCAATCACCGAATCACCTATCACCTTATCACCTATTAAGTACCTGACGGCCAACCGCGCGGGCCAACGCTCAACGATCAACGCACATCAAAACAACGCAGACAACGCTATGAGAAAGGCACTCACTCTCACTAGATGGCGCTTATTTTGCTACACACACACGAACACGCACACAAAACAGCTCCAGGAGTTCATGCAGAGTCTTTCTGCTTGTTGAGTGAACACGTCGGTGTACTTCTTCCCCGTGGATTCCGAACGTTTTTTAATTAACTTCCAGTAATTCAATCATACATCTGTATTTGCCACTCGAGGTTTTTGTCGTACGCGGTAGAACATCGTTGCTGTGAATAATATTATTCGCAAAATCGCACACAAACACATAGATCAGAAGAGAGGAAACGAGAAGGCAGCTTAACGCCCCGGCCATCATGAACTCTCTAATGAGTTATGGCAGCGACGGCGAGAACAGCTCCGATTCCGATGACGCCAAGGTTTGTGTTGTCAACTTGCCTACTTTTTATTGATCATTCAGTACAATAGTGTTTATCTTCATCGAATTATCGTCATCACCGCTAATTTAAAGCGTTAAAGTATTATTCTATACTGGCACGTGTACATGTATAGAATAGGGCCAACTGCCATATTGTTTTTCTAGTACATTCGCTATACCTATATACGTAATTTCTCTGAATAAATAATTTTGTATATACTATACTTAACGTGCAAGTATATATGTCAAATTTCTGGAAATCGTAGTACCCAAGGCTTTGAAAGTATCTATTTTATCTTTCCATACATCATTGCTATTTAAATTGTACCGTCATCATTGCATAGTTACTTATCAATTTTTTAAACTATTGATTTTTTCCAACACCTATGTTTTGCTGTAGTGTATATCATATTTAGGCACGCCGTTACAATGATAGTAACGATGATTATCAGGCTTCTATACCAAGTATTAATATATATTTATACCTTTCCATTTGCGGTAATCCACTGATGTAGCAAAAGTTCTCGAGATGGTACAAAAGTTGTGATGATGCTTGAAACGTACGAAATCATAAGGAGATAAGCACTACAGTTACTGTGCAATTGTGTCTCAAAGTAAATGGGATTAACATTGAAAAATATACATGGTTTACCACTACTTTCACAACTATATTTTAAGAATATTTGAGAAAAAATACTTATTGCGCAGAATGTTTACATAAAAAATATGGAAACTGAGAGTTTATTGTTTATTAATCCATAATCATAGATTACGTTTGATTTTGAAGCTTACCTTTTATCTCTCAGTCTCGTGATTCAGTTTTACCACCCTTTTAAAACTGGCAATCCCTTAAATGTTTCACTATTAATGATTATTCTAGAAATTTGTTTATCTTTCATGTATTCTTCTTACAGACAACCAGTACCATCTCAAAAGCCAGCCTTGGTGCCAAAAAAACTATTGATGCAATTTATGATCCAGTACCAATGGACATGAGTGAGGTACTAATTAAGGATAAACATATTTACACTCTACTTCTTGCATATTATTAGGTATCCTAATGTCTCGGGTAGGGTTATCTCATACGTCTCACGAACCCTGTTAACAAATTTTTTTTTACTCCATTCATTCATTGTCAAAAAAAGTCTTATCATTTTTCCCAAACTCTCATTCCTACTTATCTTAGACTGGTTATGGGCTAAAAATTATTTTTCAACCTTTGAAACTATATTTTGTTAAACACCAAAAATCTCATCCTAAGTACGTAAGACAAAACAGTTAGCAGTGTGGTTTTATTGCAAATGAAAAATACATTTAAAATTTTTAAAAAATGGGATTAGTACCATTTCGTGAGATAATATTAACACGTAGCTCTGTTCGTAATTCATGATACAATATCTACGCACCTCGGCAAGGTCAGTGCTGTGCGAGGGTCTTTCAAGACTACCCCCCAAGTCCTATGCCGAAGACTTAGGTGAGTAGGAGAAGCTGCAAGAAGGTAACTCTTACAAAAAAAAAAAACAATCAAAATGACAATGATCATCATGGAAACGTGAATTGTACAAGGATTCGGTGTTGCCACAAATACAAAGCAATCTAATTTTTTTTATGCATAGATAGCAGGCATTTCTGGTATGGCCAACGAAATCTTTCATAAACAAATTTTTACGTAAATCTCATAAGGAGTTTTATGGTATTACAGTTTTTTGAAAACTGTTTTGTATACTTTCAACACAAGTTATTATTTGTAAAGAAATAAATAAAATCGCATATTCTTGAAAGAATCCTGCAGTTCAGTATTTCATTAAAAGAAAATATTTGCAAATGTCTGTTACAGAATTTTCATGCAAATGTATTTCTTTTAATTTTGAACCTAATACCAAATAAATGTTAGGTGACGATGTGACTTGAGTTAATATCTATTAAAAAAGATAACGAATTATTATATCAAACTTATTCGTCCTTTTTGATGATAAGAAGTATATTTTTTCAATAGGAAAGCAACAGCAACGACTCGGCTAATTCTGGAAATAGAAGTACTAGAAATAACAAATCACGTGTGTCCGATTCTCTTAAGAAGGAAGGCTCGAAAAATTCCGTTCCAACGTTGGACCTGAGGTATAATGGTTTATTATTATTTGAACACTTAATTTTAATTGAAGAAAAAAAAAAATCATACATGAAAGCTCCTACAAACATTATGAAGAAGTATATGATTGCAATAACAATAATTTTCGATTATTTTAAGCTTTAATGTATATTTGATCATCACTCAATTATTGCTCGCTTTTGAAGAAAGCATTTAACAATTTTACAAAATATGTGATTAGTATTACATTTTTTTATCAAGTTCAATATAATAAAAAACAATTTATCGTTTAATGCAACGCCATTAAAATACCATTTTTTTTTTATACATACTGAAACAGCAAATGATGATCTCTGTCTACTGATTTATTAATATTAGAAATAACATGCTGATGGATTCAGTTGTTGAGGTGTGTGAAAAAGTTTTTACCACGGAAATGTTGTGAAAACCAATTCACGCACATACTTAAATCGCACATCAGTTGTGCTCAAAATCTGTGTGTCAATCAAAAGTATTTGAAAAACTGACATTCTTTTAAAAATTTTAATTGCGCGTTTCATTTTTGTTTGATAGTATATCTTGATTCAGTTCAAGTGAACGGAAAATCATACCAATCAACCTAGAATTTTTCCACATTTGGTTTGGGTCATCTTTCAAAATATTTCAACACTTGGCTTTGTCGTCAAAAGTATTTAAAAGTGGAAAATAGAATCCACACCAACATAATAAAATTTATTTAAAAACGGATTTTTTGTTTCCCTTACACAACGTTATGTGAATAGCTTCTAAAGTATTGACACAATGTTTTGTAATTGAACACAAAAAATCCGTCCCTCGCGTGACGAAATGGACTTTTGGCTTCCATTTAAAAAATTTAAAAATGCAGAAAAGTTCCGAAAAAAAAAAAATGTTATCCATCCACCTAAATCGCACGATTCGCAATTGAAACAAAAATAATAATTCGAATCTGTGTGGTGTACCCCAACAGAACGTAATCGTTTTACAGGCGAACATGCAACGAGGAGCGCTCGTCAAGCTCGCACGAAAAAGAGCATATCAAGCACAAGTCAGACGAACATAAAGTAGATAAGTACGAGAAAAATAGTAAACATTCGTCTGACAAGCGATCTGGTGATAAAAAACGTGATCATAAAGACAATAAAGATTCAAAAAGGCACAAAGATAATGATAAAAAATCTAGAGATGACGAGAAAAAGTCACGAGACAGTGATAAAAGAAAAGAAAAATCTAGTAAGGACGACGAGAAGAGCGAAAGGGATCATCACCATCGCGACGCCAGAAAAGACAGGTACAGAGAATTTTCTAAAATGACGATTCAAAGAAACGTAGATTTGTTCTTATCTTGTTACAAAAAACCTTTTTCTTGTTTATTTTCAGAGACAAGAGGGACGACAAAGACAAGCAAAGAGATCGTGGCAGGGACAAAGAACGCGATAAGGGAAAGGACAAATGCCGTGACAGAAGTAGCAGAGATAAGAGCCGTGAGAGACAAAGCAAAGACAAAAGCCGTGACAGAAGTAGCAAAGACAAAAGTCGTGACAGAAGTAGTAGGGACAAAAGCCGAGAACGCGAGAGGGACAAGGACAGACGACACAGGGACGACAGATCGAGACACCGGGAAAACAGACGATCGAAGGACAGAGGACGGTCTAGGTCTCGCTCCAGGTCGCGAGATAAGTCGCATCGGCCGTTGACGTTTAGAGAGGAGAGGGGCAAGAATAAGCTGGCTCAGCTTGAAAAATTGGGCATTGAGATAAAGGCCACGGACGAGGCGCTGCAGACCGCCCAGGAATTTTATAATCCACTGACCACGGCGACACAGGGCAAATATGCCGAACAAATTCAGAAGAGGAAGCTGTTGTGGCAGAACAAGGTTAGTTGTTTAGTTTCTTTTTGTCACGTGTATAAATTACAAGATGGTAATAAAAAAAAAATAAATAAAAAATAAAAAAAAAACTATTCTTACGACTAGAAACAAGATGATAACAAAACTGCAATCACCCCTTCTTCAACGACAAGTACATGGGTGGGTACGACATTTACTCACGACCAAGATGGTAAAGTCACAGCCAAGTTCAAGAGGTTGATGGGTATCAAAGATAATACGCCTATACTTCCTACAGGAGTCAAACCTGACATTCTCAAAAAACAAGAAGAAATGTTCAACAATATGGAACAGCAGTACGAGGTAGCTCGAGCAACGACACACACGCAGCGTGGCGTTGGGCTTGGCTATGGGTCAGGTTTTATGTTTCCACGATAACGTAATTCTTTATGGTTTAAAAATTTTAACCAAGTGTATTGCAGAGATTTTTTTAAAGCGATACTATAATCTGTACCTATGCACTTCCAAAGTGTTGAAAAATTACAACAAAAATTTAATACTAATCTTGCTGTTATATACTACTTTGTTAAAGCATCTACATCTTGGAAATTTGAGAAAAAATCAAGCAAATAGCCTATAGATTTTTATGAAGTTTGAATAAATCTGCAACATTATACTAGATTAATTACAACCTGATAAATAATGTGAAGTATTTTTTTTCATGAGTTGTCACTTTTCTTTTTTTTTTACTATGCCTAAAAAATTGTTTAGAAGTACTTTAAATGCCATCTAGCAGTTGATTGATTGTTTAACGTTTAATCTGTTATTAAATTGGATGATATGTGGTATGAGTATACTAATGTAAAACAAAAAAATTACAATAAAAAATCGGCTTAATTTGACGAACTTATCATTTAAATGTCCCTAATTTAAAATAAAAATTGTGGAGAAATTTTCCATATAACAATTTGTTGTCTGCCATGAAATGATTTTAAATTATAATCCATTGATTATATTAATTGTTAATGTAAAAATAATTCACTGGACACGTTTTCCCTAAATAACCAACAAATGGACATGTGTACTTTATTCAAATGGTCAAATTCACGCATAAAAAAATGGCACACAAGTATACGATAAATAATAATTTACCAACGTAAAAATATGAAATGGAATACAAAAATCGTCATCAATACATACATTTTTTATCAAAATCAAATTCGTTGCTTGTTCAGTAACATAGTTTTACATTAAAAACTATTCTCATTAATGGACGGTAATTTTAACTCTTATCATGTATCATGTCACGCGATTGGCCCGTTGGTCATTAAATTCCACGCGCGCTTTCCGTAAGACTTTCCTAAAGGCCTATTTTTACGGAGACGTTAGTTTTCAGCGTCGTAGTCACATGACAAAAAAAAAACCTTTTTTTCAGTCAGATAGTTAAATCCGCAAAAAACTAAACATATTCAACTTTCTGAAATTGATGCCATATTACCATGTCAAGATATAAACAGCGATGTTTTGTGTTTTGTTTGTGTCAATTAAGTGTCGAGTAATTAAAAGGCCGGACGTCAGACGCTGAAAGTAAGCGTTCATGAAAATGGACCTTAAAGTTAAGGCAACGACGACAACAAACATGGCGTCGCCGTCTCGCCTCGCCGACCGTTTGAACTTTGAAAATTTTCGACCGATTTCTTGCGCAGAGAGTAAGCACTCGCGCGCGTGATGTCCGATTGTACCTGGTGAAGTCAATTTTCAAGAACAATACGTAGTGGACGTGAACGTCGGTGAAGTTCGTTACGATTACCTTCTTTTTTTTTTCCCTCTCTCGTACCACACTGTGAAAATACAATGAGTGTGCACTCGCGAACGTAATTTTGCATCCGGGATTACTTCCTGTATCAGAGAGACACACAGGAGACAGCTGCACGTACATAGTCAAGGACAGCGAGAACAGAAAAAGTACCATGGATAACTTCGTCAGGATCGAGAAAATCGGAGAAGGTGAGGGAATCGCTTGCCACGTATACCATTTATTAATTACGTTTGCATTAACAAAGAGCTGGTGCTCTCTTTGAATATGCAGGTACGTATGGGGTTGTGTACAAGGGTAAGCACAAGAAAACGGGCGAGATCGTCGCGATGAAAAAGATCCGGCTCGAGACGGAGGACGAGGGCGTACCTTCTACCGCCATCAGGGAGATATCTCTGCTGAAGGAGCTCAAACATCCGAACATCGTCAGTCTCATGGATGTGCTCATGGAGGAGGCTAAGCTCTATCTCATCTTCGAGTATCTCACCATGGACCTGAAGAAGTATATGGATACTCTGGGTAAAGACAAACTCATGGAGCCCGCCCTCGTCAAGTCGTACCTCTATCAGGTAAGATTGTTTTTGTATCTTTCTGGGATAAATACTCCATGAGATTTTTAATGCTAAATTGTGTAGTTAGAGATTTTTTAAATTGTTTGGTGAAATCTCAAAACCTAATCTGTAAACAACAAAACATATCTGCATGGTAGCGTATGCATATACATATATGTATTTTGTTAACTACGGTACTTTACTGTTTCCTAATGCTCTAATTGCTTCATGTTCAATCACCATATTTTACTGTACCATTTAAGATAACAAGAGCCATTCTCTTCTGCCATCAAAGGAGAGTTCTTCATCGGGATCTGAAGCCCCAAAACTTGTTAATAGATAAAAAAGGAATTATCAAAGTGGCTGATTTTGGCCTGGGCAGAGCTTTTGGTATCCCAGTGCGTGTTTACACACACGAAGTCGTTACTCTATGGTACAGAGCTCCCGAAATTCTTTTGGGCGCCAACAGGTACACATGTAGCATTGACGTCTGGAGTATTGGTTGTATATTTGCTGAGATGGCTACAAAAAAACCATTGTTCCAAGGTGACAGCGAAATTGATCAGTTGTTCAGAATATTTCGGTGCGTATTAATTTATTATGGATGCCTCATACTAGTTGTACTAGTTGTGTACATACTATGATTAATTTACATTATTTTTCGTTTCAGTGTGCTAAAAACACCTACTGAGGAAATCTGGCCAGGTGTAACGCAGCTAGCTGATTACAAGGCAACGTTCCCTAATTGGAAAACAAACAATTTACAGGCACAAGTCAAGGTACTGGATGAAGATGGCCTAGAACTTCTCGAAGCTACGTTGGTATACGATCCAGCTGCAAGAATTACAGCCAGGGATATATTGAAGCATTCTTACTTTGACGATTTGGACAAAAGAAAACTACCAGCAGAATAGGAAAAATGCCATAATTTTTTTAACTGTATTTCGTCTTAAGATTGTCATTTTTAAGCATTAATTTTTACGTTTTCATGGAAATTGGATGTAAATTAGTGTCTCTTTTAAAGTAATATTTATCTTTTTAAAGCTCTTAGAACTATGAATATTAATCGGTTTTACGCCTGACAATTGTGAACACTAATTCACATGGTTTTTTGGAAAATATTACTTGTCACTGAAATTTCGTTTTTCAATTGTAAATTCCATAATTTTACAGCAACATGCCAGAATGATTAATAACTGGAAAAATATTAGTGGTAAGGATGATATATTTTGTATTTAAGTTTGATACACAATAATATTGCATTGTAATATCTGAATTGTATAAAATACGCTCAAATTGGATTCAGTATTGGTAACACTTAAGTTATAGATGTAGACTCACATAGTTGCGAAAGTTAATTTATCCCGAATTTCGATGTTCAAACGCTACAATTTTTTCATTTATCGATTAGATTTTCAATTTTCCGTGTTATTAAAATGATGATTGAGGTATACTAGAATTTACGCTGAAAACCAAAAAAAAATCAGTCTACCTTATTGTATCTATCTTTTCTCATTGTAAGATAATATTATTCACTACCTGTATTGATATGTACTCAAATAATTTAAATATTTAAAAGTTTTTGAACACTCTGGGACCAAAGTGAAATGTTCAGCACTGCGTGAAATTTGACGTATTTAAATAAAAAATTTCGAACCTACATTTTCGTAAATACATTTTACAGTACATCTTGTTACAACAGTCAACACCTTTTTATTAACCATAAATAATGCATACATTCTGTAAGATTTTGTGAGGTATTCCCTGAGTCCACATCTAGGGCTTAATCTGGCATGTCTGGTTTGCCCCTTTATTTTGATATTGAAAAAAAAAATTATTTAAAAAAAGTAGTAGCCTGTACGGTCATAAATAAATTTTACTTTGAGCTTTGGTGAAATGATAAGATTTCCATCGATTTCCGTATACTATCAATCAAATATTTTTAACAGTTGAGAAAATATTTTAACTTAATTTTAGTTCAATTTTTTAATCAATTAGTATGACAGTTCTAATTTGTAACAAAAAGTTTTGTATGTTATTGCTTTTTACTCACTAACCGATTCGGGGACATGACATTTTGAATCTGGGTGGTATAACAAAGTATTTCGACACAGCAGTTAAAGTTAAATATGTTTATTCCAACCAAGTAGACAAACATGTAATTATTGTAATAAACGAGCTCTCCTGCAAAACAAATGCATTTCAATGGAAAATTGTGAGAAACCTTTTCTCATTGTAAGACTAATCTTATTTAAATCAATATTTATATTGTATATTTTTGGCCATGAAATCTTTACATACACGAATATTTTTACTCTATCTCAGTAAGCAGAAGAAATCTGCGAGTTTCTGTTTCTACAGATTAAAAAAAAAATTTGCAGTAGATTAGTACGTTAACTTTGTACACAAGAATCTGAAATATTAGTAAATGTTTTTGCAAAAAGCAGTACTTGGACACAGTCAAGAGGGATAAACCAAAAATATTTCAATGTAATGAAGAAAAAAAACAATCTTTAAATGATTAAGAGATGAACTTTAATAATACTTGCATTTCAATAACAGCGAAATCTGCGTCTAGCAAATATGTACATACATTATGTTTAGAATAAAGTAAATAGTGCTATCTAGAATATTACAAAGTTCCGACAAAATAATATGCTGTACCATAAGGTACAAAGTAACAACAAGCGTCTTAGACAATACATTTGGTTTAAAATTTGTTTGAAATATTATCAACTAGTTAGTGTATCAATGTTTGCAAGCTTCTTCAACTCTCTTACGTTTAAGTAAGACAAAATGTTCCACATGATTTCATCGGGCAGACTTTCAAAATACATCGTCCCCAGGACAAGTTGTAGAGCTTCGTTAAAATAGTAGTACGCACCGTCTAGTACCTTCCTCTTTTCAACCGCTAGATCAATGCGAACTTTCACCGCATAATCGTAATAATTAAGTATGCCTTTGTTTTTCTGTGCAAGTGAAGAGCGAAATTTCACACATGCTTCAAGATGTTTCTTATTATTCAACATCTGAACAAATGAGTCGAATGACATCGTCATCATGTCAAAAATAGATATTGTGCCAGCTTTGACTCTCTTCAATCTATCCAGCACCTTGTTACAATTATCAAGTTCTTTTGACAAAACATCATCTAATTTGAAAAGTTCTGTTGCTGGTATCAAATCTTTACTCAACTTGTTTAACCGTAAATAAATGGCAAAATAAAAAATCAATAAGCGCGTAGATTGTATGACCCTTTTCTCATATCCATTTACGTAACAGAAGGCACAAATCATGGCTCCATCAAGAGTGACATTCTCTTTGAACTCCCAGAATAAGCTTAATGACCTTAAAGAATGAGTTATTAGTTAGAATATTTGAGGATTCATGAGTAATTTGCAAAATATCATGTAATAATTAACAGTAATTCTTACTCTGTACTCATGGGAATCTTAAAACCAAAAAAGTCAAGTACATCCAAATTATAGATCCTATGGGTGCAATGTTGTGAAGTAATTAATTAAAATGTTCACGATGAAATTATTTGAGATTTTTTAAAATTAATGACAAACCTATTAGTTCGAAATCCAGCCTCTAGAAGCATCTTTATAATGCTGTAAGACCCTCTGTACGTAGCAACATTCAGTATTCTTGTTGCAGCCTGAGAGTTTTTGCTTGCCTCGTCGATTCGATCCATGTCAAGCAAGCGATCAATAACTTTCTCATAACCCCTCTCGCTAGCAATGATAAGTTCATGCAGTTCAGGCTTTTTAACGTCACATGAAATATACAGTCCAGAACCTCTTCTCAAATATGGATCAATGAGTGTTTTTTCATCTAATCCTGTCATTTTTGCCAGCATCAAGTTAACTATTTTTTTATTGGTCATTTCGTCACATACTGCCAAGAAAAATGGTGTTTCATTCATATAATTACGAGCACGTAAATTACTTCCTATAATAAAAAAAAAAAAAACAGATATTACTTGTTTGAACACATTTGAGTTATTTGAGGTGATGAGTTTTCTAATGATTTTTAACATATGATCTTAAAATTAGTAACTAATTATTTGCCTTGTGATACTACAAAAAAAACATCGTTAAAATATAAGTAAGAAAGTCGATTTACCACGTTCAATAAGAAGATAAGCGGTTTTGTTGAATCGTTCACTGTCAAATGAAAAGTAAGAAATTCCATTTTTTAGCAACAAATGCAAGGGTGTTTCGCCAAATAAATTTTTGACGTTAACGTCTGCTCCTTCCTGCAAGAGAGCTTCGATCTTTGCATCCTCGCCACCACGAACAGCTAGGTGTAATTCCGATTCACTAATGGCATCATTTTTATTCGTACCTTGCTTGTGCACTAACTCGGAGAAAAAACACTTTTTTTCGTCTTTATGATACTGGTCGTGATTTTTTGATTCTGCATAATACATTATAGCTTTGAGCGAGAAGTGAACATCTAGTTTTCCAGCATATTCAAGTATATGCTCAATAAACGATTTGTATTTTAGACTGTCAGGCTGTTCCGAGTGTTTGATACAAATTTCCAGCAGAGTTTTGTATATGTTGTTGCTCTTTGCACTGTAAGAAATCGGTATTACCAGAATCGTATCACATCAAATTAGAAAGTGTGCAGTTATGTAACAAAAATTTGTACAACTTACCCAGATTCTAATAGTTTTGTTGCACAATTCTTGTTGCAGCTGGTAATTGCTCTATCAAGCGGTGATAGGCCATTACAATCAATAATGTTTGGGTCTGCTTTATAATCTAACAATACTTGTATGATATCTTCGCTGCTTTCATCCACTGCAAGGTGCATTGCTGTACAATTATTTTCGTCTATGATGTTCGGATCAGCTCTACTTTCCAAAAGGAACTTCACACCGTCGACCTGTAAATCAAAATTGTTTTACGGTAAAAAATTAATTTAGTACATACACTTTCACATTATATTGTACCAAAAATTGTACCTGTTTCCTTGCAACTGCCATGTGCAGCGCCGATGCGAACATTCCTCCCCCCAGTGCATTGACATCTGCTCCGTGGTCAACAAGCAGTTTGAGTATTGGCAGGCCGTTGTTCGGTTGTTCAGGTTTTTTGTGGTTAACGTGATTGTATGCCAGGTGCAAGGGTGTTTCATACGCAGAATTCCGATCGTAGACACTAGACGGATCCCTTCATAAGTAGGAGTGAAAAAAATTTGTATAAAATTCAAATGTTTTTTTCTCAGTTATTTGACCTTCAAACAAGAATTATACCTTTGCAGAACCTCGTTAACGAGCCTAATATCGCCCGAGCGAACCGCCTGATGAAGACTTGTCTTCTCACAGTCCATTATCCTATTAGTTGTCCTGGAGTTTTAGTAGAATACCTGATTTTGCAAAACATCGATACAAATTCAAACGAATGAAAAAGAAGTACAACATTTGTGTATGATATACATTAATTTAAAAACTCTAAAACGGTCCTTACATGTAAAACGTAAACAAAAATATAACCTATAAGCGTGTGTTGGGATGAAATTGCAGAGCACGGACACGGACACGACACGAGACACGAGTTTGCTTCGTGGTCGGTTCAGGGAGGGGTGGAGTTAGTTTTTAAGTTAGTTTAGGTATTGGCTTTTGTATTTTCTTACATATGCCAGTATACTACTGGAGTAAATTACATCGATTCACAAATCCTACCTAGTTACAATCATATATAATGTCATTACGTATAAAAATAAATATCAAATAGTGTTTTTTTTAACTTACAAATTACCAATAAGAACTTGCTTGAGTATGAAAAATATCATTATTCGCAGCTTAGAATTAGTTATTGTCTTACATTAATAGCGCAATTAAAGCTCAGAGTTGCAGACTGACAGGCAGCATATTTTCGCAGTTCTACCACTAGCGCGGTCTTGCGGAGAATTTCGTGAGAATTTTAGGGGTACTTTTTAGTTTGAAATTCACAACGCGAGATGGCGTTGATCCTAAAATGCACTAGGTGGGACATTCAATTGTCACATCATCAATGTCTCGATAATTAGAGGAAAACGAAGCCATTCAACACAATGTTAATGCCTTTTATTCATTACGTCCTTATTCTTGTAATAATATAATTAAATCATTGAAAAATACAGAATTATAATTAAGTAAAAAATTGATCATCGAGAATGTACACCTTCGAAGTTGAATTGTCCTTTCAAGACCAACAAAAAAAAAAAAAAAAATAAAATCAATTCAACAACCAAAAACAAAAATGGATTTCGATGAACAACAAGTAGTGCGTTTTTGCCGGTTTATACTCACAATTCGCCAGCAAAGTAGTGAGCAACTGTTGTTGTTTGGCTATTGGCTTATTTATGTCACATGTAAAGAAGAAAAATCTTCATCTCTAATTTTACAATTTTGGATGACTATATATAAATGTCGATTGTTAGTAGTATATTAATGCACACTCAATTAATAATTAGCTAAACTGGAACATTTGAAAGGTAAAAAATTTGAAAAACTTTTCGAAGTGAGTACATACATACACATAGGTATATTATACTGTTGATCTTATTTCTATCCTTGAAATTTTTACTTAAAATTATTACTAAATATCGATCGACAAACGTTCAACTTTTTTCATCCACGAAAGATAATCCAACTAGCTATAATATTTATCTCGAGTGCCATTTCATAAACTCCGTTAGTCACTTTGACATATTCTGGGGATTGTGTGTATTTGAAAAAATCGACGAAAAAGTCAATCAAATGTTTTCGGAAGTGAAGCACTCAATAAAACATATACACATGATGCTATGAGCGAATACTTATCAGTGATTCTTTTACAGATTGCAAAAGCCGTCATGCACTTGTGTCATAGATTTTTTCATAGATTAGCTCCTGTTAACATAGTTAATGGCTCGTAATTTGTTCTTCTCTTGGTAACGCACGATACACTTGCGCGTTGACAGACACGTAATTGAACTTGCGTATTTGCATCATTTTCGATTAATTAGAACAATACTTCATATTTTCCAATGATATTATTATTAAAATTTACGAAGAGTGGTATAATTAGTTGTTCAAGTAAGAATTTTAATCATCAATTCACCGTTACTACCTTGTACAATACTAAACATTTATCTAAAATGTTTCTTACAATTTTTTAATGCCTGAAATTCAATTGATTATTTTGTTTCTTTGTATTGAAGAGTTGCATTTTGCATCTTTTTCGCGACCATGGATTCGGATTTTAAAAATCATGTAAAAT